CCACTTCCTAATATCCGAGATAGTTTTGTACAAAACCACCCCTACGTCAGGTGATCTGATATCAGGTAGATCAGCACCTTATTTGATGGCAGGCTTTGACCATCTATAAGCTCTGGACCCACAGTGGTCATTGTAAAATACCACATCACAGAACAGAAAGGAGAGATTTGTTCAAGGTGGAGATGCTTCTCTCCAGGCAGAGCCTCCAGGAAAGGCAGCCAGCCTTGGTGGTTTGACCACTCTGCAAGGGTCTCACTGGCTGTTCTCAGGTCTGTATCCTGCCCCCCATGGACCCAGCTCCACCACCAAGTGCCCTTCTGTGGTGGGAAATCAGGAGCTGGTTTGGTTTTGTTGTTTTTTCAAGCCTCCTGCTGCTGCAGGGATGGCTGGAGAGGGACACAAGCAGAGCCTGGGAAGGGCCCTGCAGGTCACTTGCTGCTGGAGCCGTGCTGAGAGCAGGGTCACCCAGCCCAGCTCTGAAGTTCCCATACCAAAAAAAAAGCATTTTTCCTGTAAGAAGAAGCCAAATGTGTCTTCTCATATGAAAGGCCTTCATTCTCTTCCAGGACCAGCTGGTCTTTTCCTGGCCATGTCATGATGTGGATTAATCCTAGGTCACATCCTTCCCTTACAAAAGCCACCAGAGTGTTTCTGCTGCCAGTGTGTTTGTGGCCCCAGCCTTGATCAGGGGAAGGTGCAGGTGGAGTTTGGCCCCCTGGCTGAGATCCTGGGGAAACTCAGGAAAGAGCAAGTGGCAGTGAACCCTGCTGGAAACGACCTCATTCTTATTAGAATGGCCTTTATTAAATTAGTTCCATTTCCCCTTTAATTTGAATTAAAATGGCCTTGATTTATTTCCAAAAGAATTTCTGCATGGGGGCATTAGGGGGTCAAATGGACCCGTTCAGAACCATATTGTCACTTTATTTGGATTGTGTGGACAAGATGTATGACTTACATTCACCATGCCCCTATCTGCTCACCTTCGGGTATCATCCACCTCATTGCTCATTCTCCATGCTCTGAAGTATCTTCCCATGATGGAGAAGGAACTGCAATAGCCTAACTGTGGTATTTTAAGGACACCTCCCTGGAGAGCTCTTCCCTGCAGCACGATGGGGACTTTTCCACTTGCATTTGAGTGCCTTGCCCCAGGAGCTCGCTGACTAACCAGCCATGCAGCAGGAGGGATTTGTTGCTGGGGTGGATCCTCCCCTGCACACCCAGATGGAGTTGTAGGTAGGACCTACCATTGAGCCTAGTGTGGTGGGATGATCTCAAAGCAACCTGAGTGCTCACTGCCAGCTGGGTGTTGGCATGTTTGGCTCGTGATGAGAGAGGAATGTTGGATTTAAAGCCTTTCCCACCTCCCTGGCTCCTGGTCTCGCAGGAGGAGGACAATTTGCTGGAGAAAACTCCATTAGGGCTTCAAAAGGAGTCTGGTGGTGGCTTGCTGGGGCCAGGGCTGGCTGCAGCACAGATGTCTGCATGCAACAATAGCTACAGTTCAGCCCCACGCTTGGGGGAGGGGTGGAAAGAAGAAAGGAAGGGAAAAAAGAAAACCAGAAAGCCATTAGATGACTTCAGCTCTGCGTGACTACATCAAAAGGGAAGGCGCCGTAAATTGAGTGTCTGTAAAAGCCCAGGCCCTGGTGCTGGGGTGCAGGACTCTGCTCTGGGGCTGCAGGAGCAGCTCCAGGCTTTGAGTGGGCAGAGCTTTTTTTCCTGGCTGTTGTGTTGACCTGGGTCCCTGAGCCTTCTCTTGCTGCCTTCCCAGTAGGTGCTTGGATGTCCCTGTGACCCATCAGCTTTGTCGTGTGCTCAGGATCTCCTGGCAGGTGGAAGCTTTGCACCTGGGGCCATTTCACAGTGCTGAGAGAACATTTCTCCTTCCTTTTGTTGGCATCCTTCCCAACCCCCAAAGTCTGTCCCAGCATCAGCATGGAGGGGATTTACTCGCCTTTGCTTCATGCTAATATGTAATAACTGACCTGATGCACACCAAGGCCATTAAGGATGATCTGTCCCAGGGCTCCCTAGAGCATCCTTATTTCATGTCTTTGTTTTACTGTGTCATAACTCTATCATTGAGTACATGTTTTAAGGAGAGTCCACTGAAGTGTATGGAAAGCAAACATCTTGGCTGAGGGGTCTCCACACCAAATCCCTCATCTGCAGGGACTGGGTGGGTGCAGTTTCCCTGGCCTGGGGCTGGGCAGAGCTTTTTGTGCTCCAGTGCAGCAACTGCAAACCCTGCAGCATCCCAAAAGGATAAGTTCTTTAAAAGAAAGAGAAAAAAGGGAAGAAAAAAGGGGAAAAAAAAAAAAAAGTTAATTTCTTTTTCAATTAAATCAAAATCATGGTCTGGGAGGGCCAATATGGAACTTCTTGCATGTTCAGATTTGCAGCACAGCAGGTTGGTTTAGCCCAGGGATTGATTGTGAGTGACAGAAATGTGTGACTCTGTGAGAACATGAGCTCAAACCTGTCGCTTCTTCCCACCCAAGACAATGGCTAATTGTTCTAATTTGGGTCAATCCCCTGCTGTGCTGCAGCAGGAAAAAAGGAATTCTTTACCAGGGCTTTATGATAATTCATACTGGCCTATTTTACGTGTTGTTTGGCCCTGGTGCAACCCCCCCCAGGGCTCTGCACACCACCAGGGATCCCTCTGCTGGGGAGGAGCAGGTGATTAATTCCTTAATGAAAACAAATTAATTTGCAATAACATCTTTATCACAAGGCTTTCACATGCTTTGTGCCCTCCTCCAAGCTCTCTGGGTGCTTCTTTTGGAGCAGAAATTTGGTTTGTGAATACAAATCATCCTTGCGTTACCGGGTGCTGTTGCTGAGCAGTGATGTGAGGAGGGCAGGCAGTGACAGTGTGTGTGTGTGTGGGGGGGGTGTTTATACCCAGTGAAAACCCCATCCTGTCCATCCCATATTTGCTTTCCCATGGTGTCATCCCTCTGCTTCCAATTACCACCCCCCCACCAGCAGAGCGGCGAGGGGCACATCCAAGGGTCACTTGTTTGTGCTGAAGGTGTGTGCAGATGGTGGGGGTGCCTTGCTGGCAGGACTTGTCCTGGGGTGCTCAGAGAAGCTGAGCAGTTTCTCTCCTGTACCACAGGCTAGACCAGCAGTGAGGATGAAATGGGTCCTCTGGGAGAAAGTAGGACAGGTTTAGCAGGACACAACAGGGGTGAGCCTGGCACCTAACCCTGCTCTGCTTTATCCCTGGGGTTTAACTGATTCCCATTTTGAGGGCTGTCACTCCATCCCTTCATCCAGAGCTTTCCTCTCAGGACTGGAGGAGGGTTGGGAGCTGGTGGTCCCTGGCACCAGGAATCCTCCTGCTGTGGGGACAGACGAGGCTTGGCTCATGCTGCTCCCCCTCCGTTCCCAGTTGAACGAGATCCCGTGGGTGCAGGGCTGGTTGGGATCACAGATGGGGCATGTGCCATGAATCCCTCTCCCAGCTGAAATCTGTTAAGGGATTAAAATCTCATGCATCTCCAGGCTCCTCCTGGCAGTGAGCAGCCCTCTGCTTCTCCAGGGGGCTGGGGCAGGCAAGGATGGAGGCGGAACAATGGGGAAAGGGGCCCTTTGCAGGGAAGAGCCTCTGCTCTCAGCTTCCCCCTCATCCCTCCTCCATCCCATGCTCAGCATCCCATCTGATGGCTGGGAGCTGCACTGGGTCTCTGCCAGCTCAGAGAGGACGTGGTGGAGTAGGAGCCAGGACATTGCTCAAAAACTGCCTCTCCTAGCTGATGCTTCACCTGTGTTTGTTCTTCCTGGGCTCCCTGAGTCTTACTGAGAGCCCGTTCATGCAGATGGAGCTAGGAACATCACCCCTGAATTAAATCAGTTTGTGATTATTGGTGGTTGCTGTGTAGGCCTCTGGATTTATCTGGGAATAAACTACCTCAATTTCTGTCAAGACTTCGTATTTTACGGAGTGGATTGAGCAGAGGAGCTAAAGACCACAAGTCCAACACTGATATTTCTGCTCCAGCCATCTGCAGATATGCCCTGTCTCTCCTGCTTTTGTGTTTTGTTGGTTTTTTTACCCCTGAGCAAACCTGGTGTAATTGTTTCTGTGCACACCCAGAGGTGCTCCATGGTTAATTCAGTATTTATAACCTCTTCATGAGGCTGGTCCTGCTCTGCTGACTTGGAGGCAATGCAGGAGAATACGTTGCATAAATGAGGCTGCACAGAATGAGCTGCTCAAAGGGAGGGTGTGAAGGCAGCGATAATTGGGTGTCCAGGCAGAGAAGATGCAGCATCTTCCTCAGCATCCCTGCCTGGCTTGTCCCAGCACACAGCAAAATCCTGAGCAACTGGCATGAAGAGCAGTGGACAGCAGATCCCAGGCTGGTTCCTTGTTTTAGGGCTTCCTATTTAGTTCTGTGTATTCTCTAAGATGTTTCATGGTGCAGCCATTTCATAAAACCAGGCAGATGCCACAAACTGTCACATCTTGATCTTTGTTATCATTATTGTTCTTCAGGTCAGGTTAATCTCCACTTGTGACCTTTTAGAGAGCAAGCCAGGGGGGCAAGGTGTGGGGTTTGTATTAATGGGGGTCATGTCATGTGTTAGCATATAAAGATCTTGGAAGGAAACATGACTGAACAGTCCAGATACTGGTATTTGTATTTTAATTTTAGGAAGCAAAATTTCTAGAACCAAAGTCTTGGAAAACCTGAGGAGTTCAAGTTTTAAAATCAACTATTCTATTGGGTGAAAATGATAGTCAGAATTGAGAGGACTCCAGCAAACCCCTGTTTTCCTTCAAGCTTTTTTTTTTTCCCCTAACAAATACCTGTTTTGAGGGTTCCTGCTGTTTCGAGATCTCCATCAGCTCAGGATTTTGAGCATGGTCCCTTCTGCCTTGCCAGCTCCTGGCAGGGAGCTGCCCTGGGCTGGGAGCCTCCCGTGGGTGCAATGGCAGCGCTGCAGGCACCTTACCCGGTGTCACTCCCTTGTCTTTGCAGGAGGGGGACTCCCTGGGGGCCATGGAGAAGCTCTGCAGGCAGCTCACCTACCACCTCAGCCCCCACTCGCAGTGGAGACGCCAGGGCATGATGAAGAGGAAGCCGCAGTCCTGGTGAGTCGCCTTTTGAAAGCCACCCTCACCCTGCTGGGTCACTGTCCCCTCCAGGTCCTTGCACCCTTCCATGATGATCTTGGCCGTGCTGTGCAAATGTGGGGGCCAGTGGGAGGTGCCTGGTGCACACCTGCAGCCATGGGAGGAGCAAATCCTCCATGAGGATGGAAAGGTTCTTAAACCAGGGCTGTGAGAGAGCTGGCAGGTCAAAAACTTTTCAGCTTGCCACCACCTCCCAAACCCTCAGTTTTCTCCAGTCTCACCAGTGTTTTCCTCATGTATGGCTGGGTTATCAGGCTGCTTTGTGCTCAGCCAGAGGTGTTTTCCTCCTTTTCTGTGTTCTTATCCCATCTGCAGTGGAGAACAAAACAGTAGTGCCTGGGGGGGGGAATGGGCTGCTACACCTGAACCATCCATCCATCTTCCAAACACCCCCATGCTGGGCATTGGGGAGCAGGAGACAGGCTGCTCCCAGACATTCTAATTAGCTGGTAATTAATGTACAGGCGTGCAGCATCACATACACTGTGGCTTTCAGCTTGTTGGTATGAAGGAACATGTTTGATTATAAATAAGGACTAAATTACCCTGGTCCCCTCCTCACCAAGGTCCTGAGCAAAGCATCATGGCCACCATCCTGCATCCATGGAGTTAAAAACCTGTGGATGAGGCTGATGGGAATGGGAAGGGCTCCTTCTTTTTCTTGATGTTGCCTGTTATCTATTTATTATTTTTGCCTAAGGAAGTGAGAAATTAGATTCTTAATTAGAACAGGAAATTCAGATCCCCCTGTTGTCCCATCAGGGGATGATTAAAGTCACAGAGATGTTGCAGTGGGGGCTCTTTGCAGCCCGAATGACAAGGGGTCACTGACACTGAAGGAGGGGACTGCCCGGCCCTGCTCTGGGACCAGCCTGGGCCTGGAGGGTTTATCTCCCCAGCCTGCAGCACTGGCAGAGCTGAGAAATAGCTGAGGTTTTTCAGGGTGTTGGCAGCAGGACGAGGTGTCGGTTGTCCCGGTCCTGAGCGCCCGGCACGGCCGCGGTTCCGGGTTTAGATGCCCGTTCAGGAGGCAGCTGTGAGTTCTCTCCGGTCCCGGCAGCATCTCCCTGTGCACGGCTGTGTTGCAGGGTTGCTCGCAGAGGTGTTTTCCTCCTTTCCTGTTCCATTTATCCCAGTTGCAAAGTGGTGTCCTGAGGCTGCTTCTCCCGCCGCTGCCAGCCCTGACTGGGGCAACCAGAGAGGGGCTGCTGGGGAACAGGTTCCCAGGTTCCCTTCCTTTCCCTCCTGTCCTTCTACGTGCAATACTGACCTTATTTTTTTTGCATATAATCGGTCTGTCTCTCACTCCCTGTCTCTGTGCCTCCCTCTGAATCACATGTATTTATATTCAACATCTAGGATGAAAATCAGCTCTTTGCCTGGTAGGATAGCCAAGAGCAGGAGGATAAAACCAGCCTGCTGAAGTAATTTGTACAGCTCTGACTCTGCCTCAGGACATGATTACAGTCCAGAGTTTAACTAGCAAGCCTTGAATTAGGCCCTGGAATCTCCCTGCTCCTCCTGCTGCCAAGCACTCGCCCTCAGCAGCACAAAACTGCTAACAAAAGCTCCATGTGTCTGGAATTGCTTTGGAGCAGGGGCTTGCAGGCCTGTATGAAGAAAAGAGAAGTGTGTTGTGATTCAGTGATGAACTCCAGGAGGTTAAGCATCCTCATTTTGTTGGTAGGAATGATCTTTTAAAATCCCACTCTTAATTTCATCAGGGGCACAGAACAGTTCTGTCCTGGAGGAATGCTGGGTGCTGAGTTTTCATATTTGCCTGCATTTTTCTACAAAGCCCTTGTGAAGCAAAAAAAAGAGGGGTTTTTCACAGGAGGGGAGCCTCCACATGTTAATAATGTGCCCTTCCTTTTGAAAGCAGAAAGAGAATGGATGTTTGTTGATGAAAATCCTCCTCTGCTGGCTGGAGCTTGTGGGCGAGTGATAAGAGATGCAGCTCCTGCAACAAACGTTCCCTTCAGACCATCCGACCCAAGTCTGCTGGTGGTGGGAGGGGACTGGAGCAGGAATTCTAATGTTTCTCCTCTCCATTAAACTCCCTTCTGTGTGTAGTGTGTGTGCACAGCAGGCACGCTGGAACTGCTGCAGAAGAGCAGAGGGTTTGTGGGCTGGAGACCTTTGGGAGCCAGGAGTGGGTGATGTCGTTTCACTGTGTCAATGGGAAGTGATTTTGTCCTGTGTAATGTGGCTGCCCTGGAGATCAGCAGGGACAGAGCAGCAAAATCTTTTACAGCATATGGGGCAAACACTACCAAAACCAGCCTGGGAATACTGCCTGGTGCTGTGACTTTGGGGTGTGTGGCAAATGACTGTGTCTTTGTGGTGAAAAGGGGGTGATTTCCAAACCTTTTTGCTCCTCCCTGCGTGGCCTTCGTGCATGTGCTTGGGATGGAGAAATGCAAAACTGTGGTTCTTGGTGGTTCTTCAGGCTGCCTGGGGTTGGGAACTGAGGCTGTCAGGCTTCATCAGCAGGGAGCTTGGTGCTGGCTGACAGGGAGAGTCCTGCATCCTGCAGGAGGATGTGGGTGAGGGACAGAGGCGTTCCTGCCCATGGCTGATCTTCTGACCTTTGCTGGGTCATATCACAGTGACCAAGGCCTGCAGCCTGGTGGCATCTCTGTGGTCACTGAGTTTATAGCTCCTTGTCCTATCGTTCATCTCAGGAGCTGAACTGGTGATGCAGTGGTGAATCAAAAGAAGGCATCCCCCCGTGGGCTGGGACAGGCTGTCACCCTCTGCAGCAGGAGGCTGCTGGTGTTTGTCCTTGGCCAGACATGTCATGGTGAAGCTCCCTGCCACCCCTGGCCGTGCACTGGCTGGGGCTGGAGCACAGGGCTGTTTGTCTCAGAGATGCCTGTGATCTGGATGCAGGCAGGAAGCAATTTCATTTCCTGGGCTAGGCACAAAATCCCAGCTGCTGCCTGCCTGTGCATGGCCAGTCAGTGAGTGCTGGGGCAGAGCCCAGCTTGTCCCTGGGTGACTCCTGCAGCCTTGGAAATATTGTGGTCATTTACTGTGTTATTTCTGTTAATTGCCCAAAGAGCACAAGAGAGGCCATCTCCAAGCTTATCCTACCCTACTTTTGTGATTGCCTGTATCAAGAGGGTTGGAAATGAGAATTTAATCATTGCGTATTGCTATGGTTCAAATGGTTCAAATCCCAGCCTGGCCAAGGCAGACCAGACTTTCTTTTGGAAATATTAAATTACCACCAAAAGTGTCTTGTGAGGTGCATGTGATGTTGGAGGGGTGAGGACAAATAGGGCAGCAGTGATCCACCAAAGGGCAGCAGCCAGGTGGGAAGTGGGGAAGGATTTTATCCAGCTGCAGAAAAAGAGATGTCTGCTGAATGAGAGGAATAATAATAATAATAAGCTAAGTAATGTTAAAGTCAATGTACAGCACTAAGCAGCTTTTGCTTTAAATAATGCTCTTTTAAGGCTAGTGGGGTATATATCCCAGGGTGATGGAGCCTGGGGTGTTCCCTTGACATGTCAGTGCACATCAGTCAGCTCTAGCTGGCAGAGTGGCCTGTCCTCCCTGAGAGGCTGGCAAGGAAAGTCCTGCAATGTTTGTTGTTGAATTTAAGGAGTCAGAGACACTGGAATGACCTTTGGGATGATGAAAATAGGACTGAACAGTGAGCAAATCAAAAGCCTGTTGTGGGGGGAAAGGTGAAGCACTGCCAATCCGGGGGAGCAAATATTTAGGAGGGCTGTAATTAAGAAATAACTTGAAAACACCCTGTTTGTGGCAGTTAAAGAAGCTGCCATCCTGGTTGGCTGTTGCTGATATTCAAGGAAAATCTGATCTCTCCTGCCTGTCAGGTCCATTCCCCACATTTCCTGGGAAACGTGGGCATTTCACTCAGCCCAGAACGCGCCAAGCAGGGAGGCTGAGCAGGTGGTGGAATCACCCATTTGGTCCTCATCTCCACTGAGTTGTCTGGCCACCTGATGGGCAGCTTTGGGCTGGAAATGAGTTATTTTTTGCTGAATATTGCAGCAGCATCTGGAAGGTGGGACTGTTGCTGGGCACTGCTCAAAGCCTTCCCAGCCAGGGCTGCCAGCCGTGAGGCCCAGTTTGTGCAGCCAAGATAAAGTACTGGTTACATTTCCCAGATGCTGAGTGAGTTTAAACCATCTGGCTGTTCACTGCAGGCCAGCAGGTCACTCAGGGGCTGGAGAGTGTGGTGCTGTGGCCAGACTGCCCAGGAGGGGTCTGTGGGGCAAGGCTCAGCTGCCTATACCCACGGGCATGAGAGGGATGCTCTGCCCCTTTGTGCACCAGAGCAGGGTGTTCAACCATGGGAACAGGCTTCCTGGAGAGGTGGCCAGTGCCCCAAGCCTGGCAGTGTTTAAGAGGCATTTGGACAATGCCCTTAATAACATGCTTTAACTTTTGGTCAGCCCTGAAGTGGTCAGGCAGTGGGACTAGATGATTGTTGTAAATCCTTTCCAACCCCATTTCAAGCCACCCTCCTCCTTCCTCTTCTGTCCTACAACTGGACTAAGGAATAACCCAGTAGTTTTCTTCCCCTTGGAGAAGGGGGATCCTCCTTTTTGCACTTAGGTGCTTGTGGGCCCCTGAATATGTTTTCTAGTCCTGTGCCTGATTAGAAAAGGCCATTGACTGGGAAAAGTTGAGGGCTCTGGGTTTTTTTTATTGTTATTTTTAAAAATAATTACTCCTCCACTTCCTTTGCTTCTGGGGGGAGTGGAAATTAGATTTGCTTTTGGCACATGGCAGGAATCATTTAAACCTGCCCTCACAACCTGGGCTGCAGAATCAACTGGTAGAAACTGTTATTAAACAAGGGAATCAGCTGGTGAAATAATTAATCCCGACACGTGTGCTTCCTCCCTGCCTTGGAACTCCTCCAAACATAGTGATTGTTTGCCTTGTCTAAAACAGGCACTGAGTCTCTGCCTTACCCC